TTTTTTTTGCACCCCTTTTCCCCCCTCTGCTGTCATTCTGTCTGGGCTGACTTAATGGCTTCCACACTGGGAAGCCGAACACACAACTATGTGGCATGTATGTGTGTGCACAAACATAACACGCCTGTATTCCTGCTTTAATTTGTTATAGGCATTTCGTGACACGCTTAGTGGCAGACAGCTAACCCGCCCCCCTCTTCAGAAAGCAGACACTCCTCCCTTGTACCCACACCAATGTGCGTTTTGATGTAAAAAAGATCTTTTCCCGCCTTTTAATTCTACATTACTCATGTAATTTGATGGGCATGTGTGAATGCACGTGAAAGTAATAAAGCACAGGTTGAAGGTTAATGTCTGTGCTGTTATATCCACAGTGAGAATCTGTGACATACTTGTGTTAAGCTTATATCGGTTTGTGAAGATTATAGGGTAAAGATGAAGCTGCGCTGCCTTTAAATGCTTTGATTTTACCATCATACACAATTTCACTGCATATCAAACCCTCTCAAACTGAGTGAGTGCACTGTGCACAGATCAAAACATGTAAAAGATCCCATTACAGTAATCTGACTGTTGTGTATTCTTGTGTGTACTCTGCTTATTTACCCGGCCTTCTCTCTGGTCCTCTGTCTCTCCAGGTCCTCCAGATGCTCCCAGTGTAGTTTCCCTGTCTGTCAGCAGCAGCACCAGTCTAAAAGTTGACTTCCAGGAACCTCTTTGTGTCAACTCTGCTGTGGTTACCAAATACAAAGGTCGGCCGTCACACCAGACCAGCCACTTCATTTAGAACAAACCACTCAGTATTACAATATGTAGAGTTACAAGTGGACATATTAGGTTCATTTCCAGCTCCAAGCTTTTTATTCTTGGACTATTGGAGAGTAGCTTTGCATGGCCCACAGTTCAAAATCCTTATTTAATCTCTACTTGGCCTGTTTGCCTGAAACAAGCTGTTGTTGCTTCTCTCCCTTAAAGGACACAGCTTTCTTCTGCTTGGCAGTCCATTGGAGAAAAAATGGACAGTGGGTGGGACATTTGTCCCTGAGATGACAATATTAAGGACATCCGCTCTCTTTGACATCATAAAGCTCCAACAGCCTGAAGCTTTTGGCTCATAGGGGTTTTCTTGTGCATGCATTATTATTCTAAACCCGTAGTGGGCGTGTTCAGTGTAAGCATTCATTACTGTAAAAGCATATTAATTAAAGAAAACAAGGAAAAGCAATGTAATTCTGCTGTAAAGTAATGACTAGTGTTTGATAACTAATGAAAAATGTTTGTGTTTGTGTATGTTTGAAGTGAGCTGGAGTGGTAATCCTTCGTTTAGTCCTCTGCTGGGTGAGATGATAGTGGATGATGCCACTCAACTCGAGTGCAACATTACTGGACTAACATCTGTAAGTTTCTACCGGCACATTGTTGTTGTTTTTCTTCATGCACATTTCCATGAGCTGAAGCACTTACAGATTCCTTCCAACTTACAGATAAAATGTTCCAATCACATTTTATCACCATAGTTTAAGCAGCACTATGCTGCAGGTTCTCCAGCTGTAGTTTGTAGAATAGCTTGTAGCTATTCTCTCACAGGAAGGGCCCTGGTATTGTTACACACAGCCCTGGACCCTTCTTTACTGTATATGTTAAGCGTCACACCAAACCCTATTCCCTCCTGACCACCCGTAAGCGTTATTTGCAGGCAGCTGCCAAAATGATAAAAAAGAGCAGCTTGGTAGCCTGCCACCTGATTTATGGGTGGCATTTTTTAAACGGACATGGAGACAAATGGACACTCGACTGGTTGTTAGTTATTATGTGAGGGAAGACCCATCCCCCATTTAAGACCCCCACTACCAGCTAAAGCTCACTCCTGTCAAAAAAGAACAGGGGTCAAGGCAAGGCCAGTGAGTTTTGGCGGCTGGTGTGATTGATCTGGCTGAGAAAGGAGAGGCAGGGGCTCGCCGTCTGCACGCTGGGAGACAGAGATGCACTGAGCTCCACACATGCACATGTATGCAGATGGTCATTTACAGAAACACTTCCTTTTCGGTTGTTGCCACACGCAAGCAGATTCTGTCGTAAGTGTCCTATCTCCTCTCCTCCCAGGGGACCTATTACTACGTGCAGGTGTCAGCGTACAACATGAAGGGCTGGGGACCTTGGAAAATTTCCACACCGGCCTGTGCTGCACCTTCCAGTAAGTTGTCTATTTTCTTTGTATAAATATGAGTATTTTAAAGCCTGTGTCTAAATTTTACACAAAGCTAAACATAAAGCTCCAAATTTAGGGTGATTTCAAAACGTGCCCCTTGCTCTACAAGGTTTTGGCTCACCTCACTAAATTAATAACTGTGGTGTGTGTGTGTATGTTTGTCTTGCATAAGTGATTTGTTTCGTAGTCTTACACATTAAATGACCCGGGCATCGCCTAATTTTGTTAATTGAATTTGTCACGCTGGTGTCATTCCAATTTTGCTGTGCCATCACTAGAGGGATGACAGCTGGACTCTCCTCCAGCTCTGCCAGGGCGGCTGGGCGGGTTGTGGGACCCTCACTGCGGATGTTAGTGAGTGTAACAGTAGCCTCAGGATGCTGCTTGGGCCCAGCTGCCAGGAGAAGCCACCCGGGTTCAGCCAAGAAATTAACCGTGGAGTCATGTGCAACAGCTGAGCTGTTGACCGCTGCAGCTCTGACCCTCTTTCTCCCTTTCCTTCAGTCCATCTGTCTCTTTCTTTAGTTTGTGTGAAATTTTTACGTTTCCATGTTTTTGAGATTTGTGAAAGGACTCTTCTGACTGTTGCAGATGCAAAATGCACCTTTTGTAAGAGCGTGAGCATAGGTAGCATTGCTGTGGGCACACTGGCACGCTCGTGGCACATCTGGAGAACACATGAACATGTTTGTCCTCATCAGCACACAGTGTTTTTCAGCAAGTTTGTGAAACTAGGCTTCCCCCTCTCCTTTTTTTTTCTACTGTCCCACCGCTCTACCTCCCCTCTCCCAGAGCTAATTTCGATGTTGCGTGTTTGTGTTTTCCATTTGGGCCTACCACTGGAAATATTTGCATGTCTGTGCTGTAGCGCGCGGCGCGGCCCCAACAGTGGGGGCCTTATACCGGGCCGTGGACGCCCATTAAAGGGCCCGCTTGTCTTGTTGGGACAGGCACCTTTCCGGGAATAGACCTCACCGTGTTTCAGCCCC